TGTTTTTCCATTTCATTCTTTAGGTTTGGGAAATTTTCGGCTATTATATCATTGAAAAGATTGTGCATTCCTTTGGTTTGTATCTCTGCTCCTTCATCTATTCTGATAACTTTTAAATTTGGTCTTTTCATGTTATCCCATAAATCTTAGACGTTCTGTTCTGGTTTCTTACCATCTTCTCCACATGTTCAACTCTACTTTCAAGATTATCTATTTTGTCTTCATTGTCTGAGGTTCTGTCTTCCAAGTGGTCTAGTCTGTTGGTGATGCTTTCTATTGAATTTATAATTTGGCTTAATGATTCCTTCATTTCAAGGATTTATGCTTGGTTTTCTTTCACGATCTCTAACTCTTTATTGAACTGATCTTTTACTTCCTGTATTTTTTCTTTGATTTCACTCCTTCTACTGTCCTTTACCTCACCTATCAGTTTATCTATGTACAATCTGAACTCCTTCTTGGACATTTCTTCTACTGTGTTATCAGTGGCTTTTGTTGTTGAAGCATCTTGGTTTGTTTGGGGTGATTTATTTCCTTGTTTTTTTTTTCATATTGTTGGTGTGTTTTCTCATCTAGAAGTATGGATACAAGGCAGCATAATTTCTACCCTGTAGACCTATAGTGTCCCTGAAGGTTTCCAGCACTTCGCCTTTACTGGTAAGACCAATATCATCAGCACCCAGCATATACATGTATAGCCTTAAACCTAATAGCTCCCTCTGAGGCGTCTACTGCTTTCTCGCATTAAACCAAAACAATGAGTTCAATAACTATCTATAGTACAAACAGAATATTTGTTAAAACAATTTACAATTTCAAATGGTGGATGAGAGAACAGAGGTAGTGTAGTATGTGATATTTGACAGGGAGGAAGAGAGAAGCTAGAAGTGAAAATTCATAGGAAGAGAGGAAGAGGAGCCAACAGAGATTGACTGTTGGTTGGAGAATAGTTGGAAAAAAACAAGAGAGAGGAGGAATAAGAACAAATAGAAAAATTTAAATACATAAGAATACAACAAAAATGCAAACACCATTCATATATCCTTGTTCTCCACACACTGATGCATAAAAAACATCCTTTTCCAAATATAGTAGAGATATTAGCAAATAGAAAAATAAAATAAATCTTGCTGGAAAGTCGAATTGTCTTTGTCAGTGTTCAACAGTTTCTCAGCGCTGTCTCTGACGTCTCTCGGGATCACTAAACTCAGATTAGCGCTTGCAAACCCAGTCACTCTCCCATGGATCTGGGCTTCAGATACCTCAGGATCGGCCACCTGCAGTCCCAAGATCTCAGTGCTGCTCCTATTTGCAGAGAGACCATCAGTGATATCCTCATGTAAAGGAGCAACCCTGAGACGCAGCAGAAAGACAAAGGCCACCAGTACTCTCAGCAGGAAGACCCCAGGCTCCTCCAAACCTGCAGGCATCCCCACACTGGATCTGCAGGTCCCATCTGGAGTCCCTAGACAGAGGCTTTTATGGTGGTAAACCTGTTGGCACCCCGGCCCCAGGCTCTGGCTGTTGTCCCAGAATGGGTGCAGCCACGTGCAACCAAACCTGGAGTCTTCCCCGAAGCAGTCCTCGAGGCCGTGGTAGCAGCAGTAGTGACCATGGTCTTTGGCAGCAGGCAGCGGGTCAGCAGTAGTGGTGGCTGCAGCGGTAGCTGCAATTGCAATTGTGGGGGCATAACAGCAGGTGATCTCGGGGGTCAGCAGCAGTGTTGGCTTCAGTTGCACCTAGGTGTCTATTGTGGCAGGCAGCAGCAGGTGGTTGCAGCTGTAAGGGCAGCAGCATCCAGAAAGAAGTCTTCCAGGTGGCCTCAGGCTGGCAGCAGCCAATCAGAGGCAAAGTGATGGTGGTAGCAGTGCAGGGGGCAGTTGATTGACAGGAGACTTCCAGTTCAGTGGCATTACAGGGACCACGGAGTAGCTTCAGAAGTTGGTCCAAGGTAGCCTAGGCCAAGCCCAGCGAAGAGACCTCTGGGCGGGGCAGGTGTGTCCCCAGTAGCCTCTGTAGTTTATTCAGGAAACAGGGCTTTTTTCTGCAATATGGAGGAAACAGGCTTTGCCCACCTGCCCCAGACAAAAACTGTTACCACTCAGGAACTGGCCAGCAATGCCCCTTGTGGACCCCTTGCAGGGTTCTAAAGACAAACCAGAACCAGAAAATTGCAGTTTTAATATGCACATCCCTATGACTTTGGATGGTGAGCCTCTTTTTATAGCGCTTATATCCCACAGTCTATCTAGTTTGGTGAAGTGAGAATTAACTCTTTTGAGATTTTAATTGGTTTATTTGAGTTCTAATTGTTCATCTGGGGAGTTCTTTTTTTAAAAAAAATATTTTTAGTTGTATGTGGGCACAATGCCTTTATTTTATTAATTTTATTTATTTAGGTGGTGCTGAGGATCAACCCCAGTGCCTCACATGTGCGAGGCAAGTGGTCTACCCCTAAGCCACAACCCCAGCTCCTGTGGGAGTTGTTTAGGTAATCCCGATACAAATCCTTTGTTGCGTATGTTTTGTAAGTATTTTCTCAGTGTCTCTGTCTTCCTTTTTTATTTTCAGATCCATTATCTTTCAAAGCATTTTAACTTTGAAAAATTCAAATTTATTTAATCTTTTTTTTTTTTGGTTTTATACAATAGTCTTGTTTATTAGAAAAATAAGGTGGTAAAACATCACTCTATAGATGTACAACATCCTAATTTTACAGATGTGAAACAGAGGCCTAAAGACTTGTTGAAACTCAAGTGACTAATCAGCACAGGATCTAGACTTTTTTAACTCCCAGGTTGGTGCTCTAATATACCAAAATAGTTGTATACTATTAAATATTTGTTTAAACCAACAAACCATTAAGTAAACCACAAACCATTAAGTTTAACAGGAATATAAAATATGATTGGTTTGATATTAAACCAGATTTATATATTGCAAATAAAACACAAAATGTACATATAAAGCCAATGGCATCTTGAGTATAAGACCTTATTTAATCAAATTTACAGTGAATCAGAGCTCAACTTAGAACTGTTATATCTAAATACTTTCTAGCTTTGTTAATTTGTATGAAATTTGTTCTATTTAGATATTACTTGAGTTAAACACTTCAATTTTTAATAGCAAATTTATATTATTGCTTAGAATATTTGTACTTTCTAAATAAATGAATAAGCTTAGCAAATGACTTGCACCGAGATGACAGGCCTATGCAGAACAAGATGTCTCAATGTGTTTCTCTATTAGCACGAACTGAATTTACTGCATATAATAAATTCTATGTCTCTATATGTATGCATCTTTCAAAAGTAAGGAAATTAACTTGATAATAACTCCATGAAAAATAAAAAGCATAACCTAGACAGAAAAAAAATCAAATAAAAATTGAATAAAACATTTTATAGTAATATCTTTTGTGCAAAAAAAAAACATTGGGGAGATTTGCACATAATATGAAGTTAATTACTGTTTCAGGAAACTATTAAGGTTTCATTGCAGAATCTTGTGAATCTTTCACACACACAAAAAAGAGACATCAAGGCTAAAAAGATCAAACATCAAGTGTTTATCATACCTTTTAGTCAATCAGTCTTTATTAACATGCAAGTACCATTTGCTGCAAGATACACAGATTTGTCTAGTCTTCATTCCAGTTTTATTTTAATGTTCTAAACTTCAGGTTACTTCTGGATCTAACACAAAGTAACCTACAAAAACTGGTCAAACTTTATTTCCAGCTCTCACCTTTAGAAACCATTATATAGGTTTATGATTGCTATTATTGGCTACTAAGTAGCAGCCTCCCACCTTGCTGGGGATCAAACCTAGTGCCTCAAAGCACTCTATCACTGAGCTATATCCCTAGCCCCAGAAGATCTTGTACTTGATACATATCTTCTAAAGTATGTATGTATGTTTTAGATTACTAAAAATATGTTTTTTAACTGCATTTAATAAATTGTAAAGTACAATGTTTAGGTTTTCTAAGAGAAAAAATTATTTTACGCTTTTTGCAGTTTTTCAGAAAAACTGGACTATATTTAGCTAGTCTTAACAATAAGGTGAAGACTTAAGTTTATAGGCCTCAGAATCAGTTTTGTTGTACTAAAACAGACAATACTACCCCCAACTTCAGTAAATCTTCTCCTAAGCCTACACAAAAATGCTGTCAGTTTCTCATGTTCTTTGTTTGCTTAAAAGCTGAATGCTTCCTCATAAGTCTGACTTCATAAAACCCACTGATTAAGGTACCATATTTATAGGAACATACTTTAATTAATAGAAGATAATTCATGTACTATATCTAAGTGTATTATAAGATTTTTTTACTACATTGCTCAACATTTTTCATACTTTATAACATTTGATGGAGGAAGACTGGTATTGTTCAAAAAAATCTCGCTTTAAGATCTAGATAAAACTTATAGTAAGTATTTTAAAACATACTTAAACAAGAAGTATATTCACGGGGATCTATGAAGAATGAAAATTGCAAAGGAAGCTTGAAAGTTAATGAAAGTACAGTACTTTGGATTGCCCCAAATGCACAATGAACAGGATCTAAGTCGAAGTTTAACTTGTTGACCATGGCTTACAGTTCAAACAGTCACTAGTTGTACCTAGTGATCTTCCAAATTGTTTTTAAATAAAGTTCTTAAATTGTAGCAATAAACAAAACACAAGATACACTTAAATAATACTGCGGTTTATCAAAAAACACATAAGAAATTTCAACTCTCATTCTTTGAATTACAAAAATCAACTTTTGGCTAAGTTATAAACATGTTTATTATGTAATTATTTGCATAACTCTAGTAATGCTATCAGTGGCTATAGATCAGAATAAGTTTTTTTTTTTAAAAAAACACTAAAAACAAAAATACATAGCCCCATTATTTACCTGTAGAACATGTTCGTTTATGCGTATATTTCAGCATTTATTGTATCATCGTTCTAATTTTAAAAGTCACATCCAAAGGATAAACAAAACCACCTACAAATTGGCATAATTGTTTATTTCTCAGTTTGTGAAAATGTCCTTAATTTGTTGATGTATGAAACAAATTTTAACTTTGATTGCTATGCAAAAGAACAGAAGAAAATCTGCTTTGCAATTAAATTTGTAGTTCAATTGCATACAGGCAACATGCTATATATGAAAAAATTACTAACTGAACTACAAATATTAAATACTGAAAAAAAATTAACAGTTTATTATAATTTATTTTATTTAACAATCTAGGAAGTTCGCAGCCATCAGTAGTTCCAATGCGATTTCAGGTGCAATTGGGAATTCGGGAATCTCGGTAGAGCTGTTAGTGTAGCGAACCTTGTAGGTAAAATACATGCATACTTTTGATAGCACATGAGATGGAATTTCTCTAAAATTGACCTCATTAGTTTCATTTTCGGCAAACTGACCTGGGCCACTCAACATGGCTTTTATTGTTCCTGATGTTAGTGCATGTTCTCTTTTTACAATAAATTCATGACCATCAGAAGATATCAATTTGACATACATGGCATCAGGACCTTCACAGCCACCATAGGTTTTCTCTTCTCCATCCATTATGTTCTTATAAATTCTAGTTTGGTTCCACAGGAACGTGAGTAGTCAGCCTCGCAGCCACTGCAGCCGAGTCCCCTCGTACCGCCACAGCCCCTACTCTTATTTAATCTTATACTTTGTTCTTCTTGTTTCTTTCTTTTCTTTTTAGATGTAGATGGACACAACACAATGCCTTTATTTTTATGTGGTGCTGAGGATGGAACCCTGGTCCCATCCGTGCTAGGTGAGTGCTCTACCGCTGAGCCACAATCCCAGCTCTTCTTGTTTCTTATTTAAGAAATTCTTGCCAAAACCCAGGTCAGTAAGTTTTTCCCTTCTGTATCTAGAAATTTTATAGTGTTAACTCTTCCATTTAGATCTATGATCCATTTCCAGTTAGTTTTTGTATATAATGTTAGGTAAAGATGGAGGTTGGCTAAAGAAGAATGACTTCAAGGCATTTGCTGGTAAATGGGTGGACCTGGAGATTATCATGCTAAGTGAAATAAGCCTATCTCCCTAAAAGTCAAAGGTAGAATGTTTTCTCTGATATGCAGAAGCGAATCCAAAATAAGTGGGGTGGGGGGGGGTAAGAAAAAGAATAGAAGAAAGATCACTGGAGTAGACAAAGAGGAAGGGTGGGAAAGGAGGAGAGTTGGGATAGGGAAAGACAGTGGAGTGGACCTGACCTAACTTTCCTATGTACATGTATGAATCTCACCATTGTGTATGTCCACATTTATATTTAAAATGTGTAGTGTGTGTGTGTGTGTGCGTGTGTGTGTATAATGAAATAACGGAAAGATCAGTAGAATCCAGGGAAGGAACAGGGAGAGGAAAGAGGGGAGGAGAGGGGAGGGGAAGTGCTAGGGACTGAATTAGAACAAATTATATTCCATTCTTTTATAATTATGTTAAAATGAATCCTATTGTCATCTGTAACGAAAAAGGACCAATAAAAAATATGAGTTTGGCTCTTTTGATATGAATATCTAATTGTTTTAGCACCTTTAGTTGTAAAGATTATTCTCTGGCCACGGAATTTTCTAGGCACAATTGTCTATGTATTTGTGGATCTGTTTCTGAAATCTTCTGTTCTATTCATCAATTTCTGTATCTTTACATTAAAACAACAAGATCGTTACTGTTTTAGAATAAGCCTTGAAATCACTAAGGATGGGTTCTTTAGTTTGGTTCTTCCCTTTCAAAATTGTTTGAATTATTTTTTCTCCTATTCCTCTGGTCTGTGGCACATACCATGAGAATTGCCTTTTTATTTATTTATTGTCCTGAAAGTAGCATTGACATATCTTTGTTTAATTACTTGTGTGTGTATGTGTGTTTGTGTGTGCATGCATGCGTGTGCCATCCTCATTCTTCACATGCATCTCATAATCTCACGGTGCAATTTCCCTCTAGGTGACTCACATCAAGTAATTCATTAATTCTAGCCTTCCAACCCCCACCCCCAGCCACACCAGGATACTCCTCTGGGTGCCTCCCTGTGCAGTTTGCCCTCAGGGCTCCCAACACAGCTGAGATTTTCCTCTGCTGGAATTCTTGGAATGCCCTTTGTCTTCTTGTATTAAGTTCCTGGTTCCCTGGATCTCACAGCCTTCTTTCTGGCTGTACCAATAACCCTGCTGTGAACATCGATGTTTGTGATTTGTTCTGTATGTGTGTAAGCACTTCTGTGGAGTGGATATAGAGGAATGGAATTGCTGGGTCTTCAGGGATGGGTTTTCCAGCTTTGGGTACTACCAATTTCCAAAGTAGCTGTACCAGTTTACACTCTGGGAGTGTTGCTGGCCCCGTGTCCTTACTTGATAGTATCAGTTTTTTAGTGTGAGTCATTCTAATGGGTGCATCTTGGTGTTTTGTTGAGATTTTAATTTGCATCTCCTGATGACTAATGATGATATATATGTATATCTTTGGTCATTTCGATATTTTATTCATAAAGTTTTTATTTAAGTTTTTGCCCATCTTTCTATTGGGCTTTCTGTCCATTTCTTACTGATTTATAGTCGTTCATGTTTTTCTAGATAGAAGACTTTTCTCTAGCCAGTTCCTTGGTTGCTAATATTTTTCTTCTCTTTGATGACTTGCTTTTTCACAATGTACAGAAATCCTTAACTTTTCCAATTCTTTAATCTTCTTCTTTAGGGATGATCTAATTTTGTGTGTGTGTGTGTGTGTGTGTGTGTGTGCAATAAATCTTTGCTTACTTAGGAGTCATAAAATTTCACATTTTGTTTTCAGGAGCTTTGTGTTACCTCTCAGATAAAATACGTCCCCCCACCCCAGGTCTGGTTTTTGTGTATGGTGTAAGGTAAAGGCCAGGGTTTATATTTTTCCATGAAGACATGCCATTCCGTGCACTGGGGTTTGGCTCAGCCAGCATACTTGAGCTCTCTGTTGCTTCATTTACCCTGTTTCTTTCTAGTCCTGATGTTCGGTTTCCTAGTCAGATATTTCTCACTCCCCAACCCCTCTTGTTTTCTCCTTTGCAGAAAAAAAAAATGCCTCCCCACACAATTTCCTGCCTAGCTTCCAACATTTTGCCATGTAGGCCGTCCATGCCGGCCAGGAACCAGAGCAGTGGAATTTCCAGGATGTGGTGCCCCCATCTCACTATCCACTACATTGAAGCAAGGGGCGCCCGGCCAGCATTCGGGTTTTGAATACAGACATTCTGGAAGTCCCACAAGGAATTTCTTGGAAAAAGCAGTGGCAACACTGGATGGGGCCAAGTACAGTTTGGCCTTTGCTGCGGGTTTAGCAGCCACTATGACTATTACTCATCTTTTAAAAGCAAGAGAACAAATTATTTGCATGGATGATGTGTGTGGAGGTACGAACAGGTACTTCAGGCAGGTGGTTGCTGAATTTGGATTAAAGATTTATTTTGTTGAATGTTCCAAAATCAAATTGCTAGAGTGAGCAAATACACCAGAAACCAAGGTGGTTTGGATTGAAACCCCCACAAACCCTAACTTGAAGCTGATTGACATTGAGGCCTGCGTACATACTGTCCATAAGCATGAGACATTATTTTGGCTGTGGAAAACAATTTTATGTCGGCATATTTCCAGCGGCCTTTGGCTCTGGGAGCTGATATTTTTATGTATTCTGCAACAAAATACATGAATGGCCACAGTGATGTTGGAATGGGTTTAGTGTCTGTTAATTCTGAAGACCTCCAAGGTAGAATTCATTTCTTGCAAAATGCTCTTGGAGCAATTCCATCTCCTATTGACTGTTACCTCTGCAATAGAGGCCTGAAGACTCTGCAAATCCAAATGGAGAAGCATTTCAAAAATGGAATGGCTGTTGCCCAATTCCTAGAATCTAATCCCCGGACAGAAAAAGTTATTTATCCTGGTTTGCTCTCCCATCCACAGCATGAGTTGGCAAAGTGGCAGTGCACAGGTTGCCCCGAGATGATCACCTTTTTTTTTTTTTTTTTATTATTAAGGGCACTCTTCAACATGCTGAGACTTTACCTAAGAACCTAAAGTTATTTACTCTGGCTGAAAGATTGGGAGGATACAAAAGTCTTGTTGAGCTTCCAGCAATCATGACCCATGCATCAGTGCCAGAGAATGACAGGGATATCCTGATTCGACTCTCCATAGACTTAGAGGATGAAAAAGACCTGCTAGTAGATCTAGATCAAGATTTGAAGGCAGCACACCCTTCAAGTGGAAATTGCAACTAACATTCCAGAACTGTGTTTAGAAGCTGCTTGCTGAGAAGATCAAATCCTCTGAGTAACCCAACAGACCATTAATGAGCCTTTGCAGAATGAGTAAGTGAAAATTTTAAGGCACTGTATGATTCTTCACTTCAATCTTCTAGGGATCCTCCCTGTTAAAAGCAGTTTTCTATACATCTTATTGTAACTAACAGCTCAGTTCTGTTCATATTTTGTTAATATTGCTATTCGCATGCCTCTGAAGGAGGTGAGATTTGTGCTGCTTTTAGGGATCATATTCTTCTTTTCATAGCCTAAGATTTATTTTGATCATTAATCAATTCACTTTTGATGTTTTGTTAAGAATTTAAATTATTAAATGTATGTTCTTAAATCAAGCATTTTTTTTTTTTTGCTTATTGTTGAAAAGAACATTCATTCCAAGCAATGGTTTACATTTACATAGTCAAAAATTAAATACTTGAAAAGTCTACTGTGAAATTCTGTTGATTTAAGGTTGTACTTATTACTCCTTGTTTTTTAAAAAATAAATCTAATTATCAAATTTCTCCCTTCCTCCCAAAAACGTGCCATTCACCCAGCACCATTTATTTTATTTATTTATTTTTATTTTAAACAGGAAGTTTATTTAAATAATAAGATGCTTGACTTGAAAGGAAAACTGTCTAGGAATCTTTTTTTTTTTTAAGAGTAATTTACTCCTACTCAAAGACAGATTGCTCTACATGTAACAGCTATGAACACAAATGTTATAAAATTGTCCTGAAGTTTTACAATGATAAATGAAAAACATTAAAATTCTCCAATTGATCAAAGTATGTACAGATTTATAGTTGTCCAGGGTTTTTTGTCGTTATTGTTTGGTATGTTTTGTTTTTGTTGTTAAAACTGAGAACAAAACAACTGGATAAGGCAGGAAGATCGCAAGTTCAAAGCCAGCCTTGGCAACTTACCAAGGCCCTAAGCAACTTAGCAAGAACCTGTCTCAAAATGAAAAATAAAAAGCGCTGAGAATAAGGATGTGGCTTGGGGGTTCAATCTCCAGTACCACAAAAATAAAATGAAATAAAAGGAGCTGAACAAGCATGCCACTATGGAGAAAGGGGATATTTTCGCAGAATCAATATTTTTCCCCGTCTCATCTCCATTTGATGTCAATCAAAATATATCACTGGACTTTTAGTTTAAAAACATGCAGTATGCTTGCATCACCATTTATTAAAAATGATTTACCTCTTGGCAGTGGGACAGTTGTGGCAAGTCAGGTGGCTTTTTCAATTTAGCAATCTTTACTGTCAGAGTTGACTTTTAAAAATGTCCTGTTGAAGAAATCTTTGTCCAC